CGCGACGGTGTGCTCCGCGGATCTAAAAGCGGCGCCGCTCCCCTCCGGCTGCCTATACCCAACCAGGCGTGGCGGTACAGGCGGCGAGGGAAGAGAGGAAGAGGAGAGGGGCCGGGCTCAGGCGAAGCGAGCAAACGACGCCACGCGTGTCAAATAAATATGCCATATTTGCCGTCCATTTTCCTTACGCGTTTTTGCACAAGTTGGCGCAGTTCGCACGCAGTATACACGACTTGTCGTGGCGCTGCGTCGTGTGGCGTGGCGTGGCGCGGCGGAACCACCTTGCGGTCTGCTTGCGGGCGGGCCCGAGGGCTATGGCGCGGCCGGGCTAGTGCGCCCGCCGCTGACGAGGCGCCCTGACCAGGGCCAAGAAGTGCACACTCACAGCGCCCCACTGGATGCAGCGGCAGAGCCGGGCAGAGCCGGGCACAGCCGGGCAGAGCCGGGCAGAGCCTCGAAGGACGCGGGCGGGATGAGGTTCCCACACTTGGCGCCACGCCCCCCGCCTCGGTCGCAGTGTGCGGAGCGTGTGGACACTGAGCACAGCACACGACAGCACACCTCGCATCCGCTTGGGCGGGCCGGAACCAGAATAGTTTGATTTTCACAATGTCACATTGTTGATTTATTTTTATTTGTTCATTTTGAAAAATAATGAAAACCCTCGAACCCTTGAACTTTAGTTAATTCGTGAAATGAATTCACTGGTATGGTAAGACTAGCTTCGTAACCTTTCAAGAGTATAACAAAAAGTCCACAGGGCTAAGAAACAGAATGTGACATTCCCCCCGACCAGTCCACAATTTTCTAAAAAATTTAACGGATTTGCACATGCACCAATAGCGACCAATAGTTAGCACTCTATTCAAGGACGTCAAACACCCAAGGATTGCGAAATTATTTAGAGCCGTTTAACACGTTGTCGTAGAGCATTGCGCACTGCACAGGCGTGTGGTTTTCCAGCAAAAGCATGACCTGCGCGGTGCACATGTCGACGACTCAGCAGGGCTCGGGCGTCCGCACACCGCACACGTGTGCTGCTGTTGCAAGTGTTATCTCTGAATCAAAGAAAGCGACACGATTCCACACACACACAGAGGTGTGGGGCGGCGCGCTGCACCGGCGGGCCTTTGTCAAAGTAAAAGTGGCGCCACAGAGTGCAGCGCCCGCCCGCATGCACGCGCAGAGTGATTTGTAAGCGACGGCGGGATAGGAAGAGTGGCGGGAGGAGCCCCCATGTAAAGCAGGAACAGCAGCAGCACTAGTCGGTCGCTGGCCGGCCGCTGCCGATCCGCTGTGGTTATTCATTAGAAGTGTCGCGAGTCGGAATGAAGAGCACCCCCCGGCTCTGCGGTCTTCTCTCGGAGGCCGCGACACGCAGCACGACTCACCCCGCAAGACAGTTATGTTTCCACGAACACTTTTTTCGGGAAGGGGGGAGGGGGAGGGGGTACATACCCCGCTCTGTGCTGGACTCTTCCATCATATCGACCGCATAGATCAAGCAAAGAGCGCGCAGAGATAACAATCTGTGTTTGGCTCGCGGCGATTTAGTTGTGGTGGGTCATGTCATGCTGGGTGGGGCGGAGCGGGGCGGGGCGGGGCGCCTGCCAGACCGCTGGGTGGGCAGGCCCGTCGCGCGCACGTGCCACCCGGACCTGCCTACCCAACGGGCGTTCCAGGCCGCCACCGCCGAGGGAGTGACTCCCTGTACCGAACGTTTCGGAGCACGCGCCGCTGCGGGTTGGTTTGCCTACTCCCTGCGGCTCCCTGTAAGACGCTATAGACCCTATGTAAGGCGGCAAAAAAGGAAAAGAAAGAAAGGCAAGCCCGACCGCACCGGTGTGTGCTCCAAAACACCCGGCACCGGGTGTTGGGTGTAACTGTGAATATACGCAGCAGTGTTGCGGTCCTACTCTTTACACCCGGAAGGAGCCATAGCTCCTGCGGCCACATTGAGTATGCAAACCCACAACACTGCTGCGTATTCAGTTACACCGGGTACGCTACGCTGTACAGCCCGGGGGAGGGGGTGGGCGGTTATAAGGTCGGGTCGGTCGAGCCACCAACCGGAGCGGGCATGTCATCCTACCCTACGGGGTTGTGAACCCCTTCGATCACCCTGACCTTCGTGGGTCGGGGACCCCACCATACCAACAGTTCGCAGCTCCATCGGGAACATCTTACCACCCTTCGCTTCTCGTAATCCAGAACAATCAATCACTGTGAGGCCCACGCGCGGGCGCACGAGCAGCGCGCACATTGATGCAATAATGTAAACATTAATCGACTTTTTGGGGTCGTATACAAACTGGGGAAAATTTTAGAATTTCTAGAAATAAATGGATTTTAGTCATTTTTTGAGAAGTTGGACTTTCCCCCTCAAACCAAAATATGCAAATTGGGCACGAACTTTTATCGGCAATCGTTTAGTGTACAATCAACAATGAAAACTGCAAAGTTTAAAACGATTCGCGAATTTACACTTGTATGAGTCCCCTTCTTATTCGACGTGATTTTAAGTAGTACTTGGTCCTTTGGTTGTCATCGTCACTCACCTGTCGCGACACTCTGAACGTTCGGAATAGGTTTCGCACTGCACCCAGCCGTTCCCGGCTCCTCACATCCCCCGCGCGGCGGCAGGCGGCTGCAGCAGGCGGCTCTGGCGGCTCCTTCGCAGGCTCCAGAAGGTCCTCCTGCTGGGCTGGTTGGCGGTGACCCGCGCTGGCTGAGGTGCCTGGCCGCTGCACGCGTGGTCTGGTCTCCTGCGGCTGCTTTACCTCGCTTTGGCACTCTTTCGCCGGCCGGCCTGTCGCACCGCTCGCCTCGCCGCAATGGAACGGAGTGCGCAAAGAGGATGCAGCGGCGCGGGGCGCCCGCGGCAAAGCGAGCCGCCCGCCCGCCGGACCACCTCGCCCGCCCCGCCCCGCCCCGCCGGTCTGGCCACGCCGGGCCCAAACTCATTTCCCGGAATTGGAGCGAGGTCTATAGTGTACTCACGCG